AGATGTGTATAAGAGACAATATATAATGTTTGTAGGTTCCACGTATGTCTTGATAGTATAAAATGAGTACGAATGCACAAAGTAGAGTCGTATACGTTGACATACCGTAGTAGACATAAGGCAATATTTTATTTCGAATATTTCGAGCACGCCTGTGCTTTTCCTCAGCGAAAACACGTATGATTAAAAAAGCTTTACAAACTACAATAAGGGATAAACAATAATAGCAGAGGCTTAGATAAATCGTAAATGATATGATTAATTAGGGCCGATTATAAAGGTGGTAACACCAAAGAAGATAAAGATAATTACAAAAGGGCTAATCAGCCGAATGTAGGCCTATGATCTCACTAGTTTGATATAATGAAAATGAAATATAACTGGTATAGAAAAATATATAAAGGATGAATAAATGAATAAAATAAATATAATGTGTCTAGATGGATGAAAAGTGATTAATAAAAAGTGTAATCTGTGAGAAATCCTAAGTCTTTATTTATGTCGTTTTTGTGAGTATCTAATTTTATGATCCATTTCAATTCGCGACACCGTCTGTCGGTGAGGCACCGAGAATCTGGGATTTACCTGTTACCTGGAGGTAGCACCCGCAACTTGCAGATTTGCTGTTACACAGTACGCCAGTAGTCGATCGGTCTCCTGCTCCTCGTGCACATTTAACATATTTATGTTTTGTCAATTCTGAAATTAATCTAAATTATATTATCGCAAATGTTTTTTGTTTTTTTTTCTAAACTCACCAATCAGCCATGTTAACTTAATGCTGATTAACGCACTATGGTTTACGTTAATTTTCGTTGTCAACGAGGTCTATTCATGGTCTATCACTCGAATGAAAATAATACTCAACGAAGATTCGTAGTCAACAGAATGAACCAGTCGAATACGCCCAATGAAAATCTGGTAGATCACTCATGCATGATAATCCAGGTACGTTGTTAATTAGACGTGCCGAAACTAAAATAGACCACGTGACGGCGTGTGTTGTTATTGAATGAAAGGTAAGTTAGCGAAGAGTGATTTACAAGATTACATAGATTTATAGGATTTGTTTAAAATGTAATTTGGTATTAACATTAATTGTATATCAACAAGCATAGGCCCTAGCCTAGCCTGCTAGAGTGAGGCCCAGTCTGCCTACAATGCCCTACATACTAGGCCTAGCCTAGGCCGGATTGATTGGCTTCTCTAGTAGCCTAGCTAGCCTAGACCTCCAGGGCCTAACCTAGCTAGAGGATTGAGAATAGGGCAGCAGTACTACCCCTAGCCCTTGGCTAGTCCTGGCCTTGAGCTAGACTATAGCTCATATATTCGTCAATGCTTGTGGTCTTAAAATGAAAATATTCACTCTAAATGCACCCGTAGCCAAAGCATCAACACTTTAATTGTAACAAACTTGAATAACATTAAAAACAATTATGGTTAAAGAACCTTTCAGTATAGATCTGCCAAAGAATGGAATAACTTACCAATTGACATAAGGAAAAATGCAACCAATATGAGTTTGGATATTTTCAAAAGTGCTATTTCTTAATTTTGAATTTCATCACATATTATGTTAAAAATAACTGGACCATTTGGGAGACCAGTACTTTTGTATTGAAAATGTATCCAGTCGAAAGAAAGAATAAATAAATAATAAATATAGCATAGGCTAATATTTGCCTAGCCTAGCCCTAGGCCTTGACAGTGGCCTCTAGGTTACCGCTATGATGAGCAGGGAATATTTTCATTTCAAACTATTGATTGTGGCCTAGGCCTAGCGAAAATTACTAATCAATTTGAAAATTTATTACGCAATTTCATAATGTGTGTAGCAATCTTTAGTCAATGCAATGTTATAATACTATGTGCAATTACAAAAAAATTAAACATACAAAAGTGACTGAGATCATTGATTAAACTTATTACTTTAAAAGTAATTTTGCAGACTTTTCATAAATGAGTAACTCATAAATGAGTATTTCCTTTTGTCATATGGCCTAGGAGGCTGCAACAAGCTATTCTACGCTAATGCACTTTAGTACTCCACCCTAACCCTAACCTTAACATTGATTGATTGATTTATTTATTTTCCACATAGTGAACAAAAAAACGTATACATGATCAAATATATTCAGAAAATATATGTGGATAGAGACCACAATAAGTTAAAAAAAAAACTTTAAGATGTGGCCACCATTAAAATTAAAATAAAATTAAAAATAAAATAACAGAAAATAAAAAAAATAAACAGGTAGTCTGGTTTCTATTATAATACATACTGTAGAAGGCTTAATTAGCATACATCGAGACCAGATATCGTTTGATATTAAGTTTAAAAGAAGAAAAACTGGGTAAAGATTTTAAAAAGGGGTCAAGGCAATTCCATAACTTAGGTCCATTATAAAATACGGATTTTTTTCTAAGAGAAGATATACATTTTTCTGTGGTGATATTGTTTTTTGAAAACCTTGTTAGATAGTATAAATGGATTTCAGACTGTTGGGTTGGGAATAATAGGGTAATGTGAATTGGGAATGTATTACTTATAAATCGATACATAAAATTATAGGTCTGTAGTTTGTTTAGATCAAATATATTAAGTGTATTATATTTATAAAATAAAGGTTTAGTGTGTGTAGTACAACTTGACCCTGAACAAATCCTGAGAGCACGTTTTTGTAATTTAAAAATGCTCTCAATACTAGTGGCTGCGAAGACTTTTCCAGGGGCATAGGTGTGTATGTTATCAACTGTGGTGGCCCACGAAAGATTGCAATAGTTAATATAGGGTAGGACTAAGGTATTGTATAATGATAAAAGCATATGTGTGGGAAAATAATTTTTTAGCTTATTCATGACACCAATATTTCTAGAAATAATATTAAAAAGTTTGTTCGATGAGGTTGCTAGGAAAGCTTGGAATCTAATGTTACACCGAGAAATTTTGTTTCACTGACCTGGTTAATAATATTATTATCTCTTTCTAAAACATGATTATGGTCTTGTTTTGTTTTGTGAAAAAGAATAAAATTAGTTTTATTAATGTTCAAAGATAATTTATTTAATTTAAACCAATTGGATACCTTGCTTAATTCAGTGTTAGTAATTTTAAAAAGTTCTGATAGAAAGTTTGAATAGAATAAAGCCTAATAATGACGAACAATTTGGGAGATCGTTAATATAAATTAAAAATAATAAAGGACCAATTATTGACCCCTGTGGAACACTACACTTGATTTTAGAAAGAGCGGAATGATAAGAGTCAACTGAAACAAATTGTTGTCGATTGCCATTAACATTAAGATAGCAAGACTGGAGTTGAGGTTAATGTTAGGGTATAGAATGGAGTACTAAAGTGCATTAGAACCAACTATTCAAATGGGACTACTAAAAAAAAACCAATATATACAGGCCTGTATTATTTACTAGCCTAGACCAGCCCCTTAAATTTTGATGAAAACTGCATGTATAGTAATTATCAACAAGGCTATGAAATCAATTCTATGCAGTAATGTTAAGCCGTTTATCCATTAACATTGGGTCGTGACAAAGTGCGAGCCAGCGAGTCATGCGAGCCAATGCGCGAGCCATGCGAGCCATACACCTCTTCAATCGCAACAACCGCCGGATGTTCATGGAGTCCGACGGGCCTTATTTAAAACTGGTTGGACAGCGAATGTGTGCGCCTTACATCTTTTGGGCAACTGCGGAGGCAGTGGGCCGGGTCATCGGCCAATCCCCCCCAGAGAAGTTCTGGATTTGTCCTGGAAAAAAACGGTCGGAACATGTTTTTGATATTAAAAGCCTCATGAAGTTGTGCTCAGTTTCGTAGCCTGGCATCTCGTCCCTTTAAATGCATGGTCGAATGTGTCCTCTTCCATGAGTAAATGGCTCCTCTTTCAAATACAATAAGTGGGGAATGTGGTGACAACCCTCTCAGGGTTAATATATCCCAGTGTTTGAGGCACTACAACCTCCGGGTCAGCGTATTGGCATATTACTATTGCAAACCCGAGGCTCTTGGGAAGATAGAGCGCTTTAGGTCCGGACCACGACTAGTCAAATGTGACAGTGTTATCACTCATTGTTAAGTACCAAGTATATCAGCTGTTTTGCAATTACATTCTTGCTTTAACGTCTAGGCTAGGCCTAAGCCAGATACTGTAGCAGTAGTACTGTAGTAGTAGGCAGCAGCAGCAATAAGCCAGATAATAGGCCTATGCTCTAGACTACAGTAAATAAGGCCTGCTCAGGGAATAATGTAATGTACAGGATTTTAATATAGTGCATCATACCAAAGTCACATTGCGCTTAAAAAATGATAAAAAGCTGATGAAAAAGCAACAACATTTTTTAATGGAGAGTGAACAGAGACCGAGCAAAAAAAAAAACGTCCGAACATCACTGCATCGTTTGCCTGCAATTAATGACCATAGATAAGAAATGGTTGGCCGGCACATAATTCACAGATTCCTCACAGTGCTACAATACTCAAAAAGGCGCCTACGGTCTATCTTGCATCCTCCACACATTCTATTTGACAATTAACAGTTTTAGTTTTTACATTGCAGTGTGTCTTCTGCCTACAGAGTGGTGACTCAAGATGTGTGAGACCTCGGAAGCACTGTTGCAGTTTGCTCCCTTCAGTAGTGCGCTTGATACTGGGTTTTGGCACAAGCTGAGTGAAAACAAATTGAATTTGTACAAATTGGATGACAAACCTAAGAATATATCAGGATACTATTATAATGGTAAACTGATTGTTCATGATTTTTATTAATTATTAGTTAGTTCTACTCAAATTATTTATTTATTTTATTTTTTTTTTTTCATGGAATGTTTGTAGAATAATTCTGTACGTCTTGTCTTTGTTGACATTTACTTTTATTTTAGTCATGTAAAACAAAACATGGGTAGAAAGCAACCATGTTAACCAACACCGACAATTTTTAGTGTCAGTTGGTCTCAAATTGCAAGGAAACCGTACAGTGGTTGTGGTACATAGTGCTAGTCGGTTTATTATAGTTTTTCTTTTTTGGTTAATTTTAGGATAGTCTGCTCTTGTTTTTCTCTGTTCTTTATACAGTAATCTCCTGTATATTTTTGTCCGCTTTTTTTGTTTACGTTCAACTTGCTTTTTCTTTACTTGGACACGGCGCTTAAGACCTTGTTTATTATGTCCTATTCTGCTTTTTATGCTTACTGTATTTGTCTATGTGTGTATTCATGAATATTCATATTTCAATTGTATTTGCTTTACAGGGGATCCAAGTGGTATGCCTAGTAGATTATGTTTGGAGTTTGATGCATTTGAAAAGTAAGTGGTTTCTTAACCGATCAATTTCTACAGTAAAATTTAATTGAAAACCCCAGAAATGCTGATGCAAAAAAACCTTCCTTCAGATTCTTCAATAAATATCTTTCTCATAATATAAGGCATGTTGTGGCAAAATGGCTATGGTTATGGTTGGAGACTTATATAGCGCATAATACATGGTCTCTATGCGCTCGGGACTAGATGTTGCATTTTACAATAGCTTTCTCCTCCCCTAAGGGTCACTTCATGTCTTCAGCAGCCAGCAAACCGGCGCACTTTCATCTGTCCACGACAGGGGCCGAATGAACCAGTACACCGGGGTAACCCCCTACTCATCTCGAAAGATGTACTGGGTTCTTTAAAGTGCATGAGCATTTGTGTACGCTGGGCCTACGGTTTATAGTCCTTATCCTAGAAGACTTGTTCCACCACCAGAACTATAGGAGCGAGCCGGCCGCGAACCCGTGCCGATATTGTTGGCTATGATCACGGTGCCCCTGCTTTAACCGCTCGGCCATTTGGCTAAGTTGTATCAAAAATTGAAATATAAGTTATTAGTATTTTCAGATAACTGAGTATGTGATCTTTAAAATGACAGGGTCATTCATTGAAATTGGACAACTCAAGCATTGGTTATTGGAAAGTGAATGTACAGTACTTTTAGACTCAAGATATTTTGCGTTATTGCATTTCAAAGTTATTTGTGCATATATTGTTTAATAGAACGGAGTATAAAAAATAATGTTAAATAAACAATTTTTTAACTTCCAGAACAGATACTTTGGGACATGACATTAAACTGTTGATCTATAGTGAAAAACAAATTTGGATCTTTAGGCAATTTTTTGAGCTGCCATATTTTATAGCTCATTTACTCAATACTGGACACACTGCAGTTGTTAACATATTAACGAGACAGTCTTACGCTGACGAAGGCAGCAGGTGCTGCCGAAAATTTCGTTGAATAAATGTACATGTCTCAGATTATGTCAAAGTGTCTGGCGTTTATGTTAACAACTGCAGTGTTATTTTATATATATATAAATATATATATATATATATATATTCTATGAATCATAAGGAAAGTGGTGTTGCCATGGAAACAGTTCTGTATGCATATATATATTTTTGTGAGGTATATTTTTTTAGATTTCCCCTCAGGCAGTTCATTATATTTCTGTTGAATAGCCTTCTGTACAATTTATGTTGTTTTGCTTGCATCATAACACATACAGGACCAAAAGAGTGCCACCACACTGTTTTCTGTGCAATGGAACGTTGTTTAACACCAACACATTAGATGATTTTAAGACATTGGACAAGAAGAATCTAATGGAGACTTGTGCCCAGCAGGTAAATATTACAGTGATACTGTAGGTACTGTGGGGATTGGCGATGGGTGTGTATAGGAGACCACCCCTACGCCCCCCACCCTGCCAAAGACTAAAACATTTACATTCTTAAGATAGTTCTGAATGTTGTGGTTTGGCATGCCAGAAACAGTGCGAGTTCTCGAGGTCCCCTCGCTGTGCATATCAGTTATGTACTTCGACACTTTATCTGCATTGCTTCTCTCCTTGCAGGAGTGTAAATGTGAAAAAAACATGAAAAATTGGCTTAATTATTACTACATTCATTATACACTCCCTCGTATATAGTTTGTAGTGTAAGTGGGTTTGAATATATAATGTTTGTATGTTGTGTCTATTGCCCCCCTCGGGGAATAGACACTATGTTATTGTCTGGCAGTTAGCTCAGTAAAGAGCGAGAAAATTCGTTAGAGGTGCATGATGGGTACTGCTACAATGAGGCAATCGAATAGAGTTCAGAACTCAAATTATATTTTGTTGGAAACTGGAATGTGCATCAAAGAGATGCAGCACGCATACTCTGTCTGGATATATTTTGGCAAAAACTATTTGCTAAATAAGAAAGCAAAACGTCATTTTTATTTTCATTCCGCCCTCCTCCGATGATCTTTAAAAAAATACATACGCGAAACAAGGAATAAAGAAAGTTTCGCCTTAATGCTGGCGGTACTCCGCATGTAGTTCTGAAAAGAGTTGTTGGTTAGAATATCTCGACGTTTGAATTGAGTTGCTTCATTCATTTTTAGGAGAATATTTTCTGGCAGGTAGTTTAGTGGTTAAGCTTTTCATTTCCAGTGGTCTGGTTCAAATCATGTGAGTATGTCCAGAATTTTCCTGATAAATTGAATTCCACTCTGTAGTTTCAATAAAAAATACATTTGTTTTTATAGAATGTCTTTAATTTTATTAACAAGTGTGCTTGCTTTTTTATAAAAAATAAATATGTTGGAATATAAATTTATTATTGCATAGTTTTTTATTATAGATGTGGACAGATATAACATCAGGGAAAGCCATAGAGGACCCAAGTATATTATCACAGTTTCTGTTGTTGACATATGCTGTAAGTACGCTGGAAGCCTTACACACTGGTAGTCCTGAAAAGGTCTTTTTTTACTGATTTTGCAGCATATTTTTGTTGGGCGGTGACTATGTCTATCGCTCTACGCTAATGTAAACAAACAAATAGTGTTTGACGGTCAAGTGTTGTGTTACTAAACACGGAGATCTCTGTTGTTGGTGGGCAGAGTGTTAAGTTAATTTGTTTGTTTCAGGGTTTATAACAAATCTGTATGGGTAAATCACAAATTATGATAATCATAGTTTTGTTGGTATTAATATATAGTCTTATTTTATTTAAATTTCACACCAACACCAAGTTCGAACCTGCTACTTGAAAACTGGAGACAAATGTATACTTTATATTATAAATTATTTTATGATACTTTTGTTCAAATTTAGACTATTACTATCTTCACATTTGCAGGATCTAAAAAAGTACCAATATTATTACTGGTTTGCTTTTCCTGCTATTTGCTTGCCTGAGGGCGCTAGACTAATTAAAAAGCCTGTGCGGTTAGACCAAGATTGGACAGAATCAAAGGTTAGATGATTATTTGTTTTTTTTTATTAATTTGTGTAATGTGGCAATTCAATAATCCAATTCTCATGTACAAAATGATACCTATCATCAATTAAAAAGTTTTGACATTTATTTTCTTTCTTATTTTCTTTATAGAAACATATACACCATTACCACCGACTTTATGTGAAAAATTAACAATATGAGGCATGTTGTGGCGAAATGGTTATAAAGTTGTCGCAAAGTCCAGTATTGAGTAAATGACCTATAAAATATGGGAGCTCAAAAAATTGCTAAAATATCCAAATTTGTTTTTCACTATAGATCAACAGTTTAATGTCTTATTAATCATATCCCAAAGTATTAGTTCTGGAAGTGGTTAACAAATTAAAAGGTCCACTGATTAATCTCAAATAAGAAAGTATAATACATACTCCAAGTATTGAAATGCACGCCATCATGTTGGGATTCAATGTTTCAACATTAATTTTGTCATCATCAGGAATGATGTTCATCAGTTAACAAATTGTTTATTTAACGTTATTTTTAATAGTTCATTCTATTAAACAATGTATGCACAAATAATTTTGAAAGGCAATTACTCAAAATCCTGTTTATCTTGACTCTAAGAGTACTATACTTTCACTTTCCAATAACTTAGGCTTGAAATGTTCAATTTGAATGAATGACCCCTCATTTTAAAGATCACATACTCAGGTATCTGAAAATACCAATAACTTAAATTTTAACTTTTGCTACAACTTAGCCATTTTGCCACAACATGCCTCATATAGAAAAACATGAAAATACAGTAGAATCCCTATTAAAGGATCAAAAAAGTGTCCCCTTAATAGGGGTATCCCCTGAATAGGAGTTTAGCTATAGTGTTAAAGTATATACTTTCATTCATTTTGTGACTGAAAAAGTTCCCCCTTTATACAGATTTCCCAAAGGAGGGGGTTCTACTGTATCATGAATTTGTGTTTTAGGTGAGACGATTGGCCGAGCGGTTGAGACGGGAACCGTAACATACAGACATAATATCAGCGGAGGTTTTCGAATGGCATGCTTGCCTATGGTTCCAGTAGTGGAACATGTTTTCTCGGATAAGGACTCTAAACCTTCGGTCCAGCGTGCACAATTGGCTCGTATGCACTTTAAAGAACCCAGTACATCCTTCGGAAAGAATAGGGGGGTTACCCCGGTGTACTGGTCCATTTCAGCCACCTGTCCAGCCACAGAAGGAGCGTTTACATTCCTGCCAATATCAGGTGGTATCGAACCTGCAAATCCTTCTACCACGCTACGTAAGCATGATCATACACACTAGCTACGTAGTGACTCGAGAAAAGCTGAATTTGTGGGAGATGGGTTAGTTTCCAGGAGACGTGCGTTGCTTGTCCCAATATCCAGGAGACTTGTGGTTTTCAGGAGACAGACTTGGAAGCCCTGTGAATGCCTATTCACATACCGGTAAAACATTCTGCTAAAATACACACCGTATCTGATTTTGTTCCATAATTTTTTACTGGCAAAATGTTTGTTTTCCAGGTAAATTGCTTCCAGACCGCTTATGATGCATTTAGTAAACAGCATCCTGGAGTTGGATTCTTCCTCATCAAAGATGTCGATGATGACATCAACCTCTCACCACTCAGGAATTGGAAAGACTATTTTAACAATCAGAAGAAGGTATTAAATAGTATATTATTATACTTATCATAGTAGGCTGATTTTAGGAATTATGAATTGATTCCAGGTAACGTGCCACCATTTGAATATCTGCGAAAGATTTCCCAGTCCATTCGATGATGTTATCTGCCCACTTCTTCCTCTGTCAGCCTCTTCCGCTACCTGGAGTGGTATTATCGTGTGATTTAATGATAATCAATGCATAATATGCAGTCCCTTTAAATGTGTCCTAATTGGGAAAACCAAGGTTGTATAACTTTCTGTTTCATAGCTCAGTTGGTAGAGTACCCAAATGTTAATCAGAAGATCTTGGGTTCGATTCCCAATGGGGACATGCATTTTTATCAAGTATTTATCATTTTTATTACTACCAACGTTATTATCGTTTGATTAACACTGATAAAATGCCTTCTACAAAAACAATAGGCCGGCCTCAAACTGCGGACTACTATTGTACTACAGGTATTCATTTTTAACGTTGATTGCTGATGTTATTAATAATTTTGTACTTTTTGTTGCAGGTTTCAGTAGGCTTTTGTGACCCTTGTACTCTAGACACCAATCCCGGCTGGCCTCTTAGGAATCTTCTAGCCCTCATCTCATTCCAATGGTAAGTATAACCCTGCAGTACCTACACCTGAACCCAGCATAGACTGTTGGCAAAAGCTTGTGTATTAAATAATTTAAGGTATAGTCAAAAGTGCCACTAGTTTTTTTATTTCATGCAAGTATAACCTTAAAATCCATTGGTGTTATTATTTGTTTTTTAAAAGCACAAGATATAAATTCTTTAAACATTGACTTTTGAATCTACATTACTTTAACGATTTACTGTCAGCCAAAAAATTCAGGAAAAAATCAAAAATTCAATTAATGATTTGAATAGCTTATTTGTTGAGATCAGTAAACTTTGGAATGATTTGCCAAATTAATGTGCGTGATAAACTTATTTTCAATTTTGAATATTCTTATAAAGCATTGAAAGATAATTTTAAGGGCTGATTTTGATATTTATGTTCATATACATTTATATATTTTGTGTCAGTTTGTCTGTTTTTTTGTTAGGAAATCCACTTGACAGTTGATTTAGTTCTCTTTTTGGAGTTCCCTGTCTCTCCGTCTTTTTTGTGTATGATATTTTATGTGAATTGTATTTTTTGAGACGAATAAATGAAATGAAACTGATTATTTTTAACCCTGAGACCAATAAGCCATTTCGCATTTCTAACTGCGCATGCTCGTATCAAAGTCAATCGATATAAACATGATTGACCTTGGATATCAAGGGATAAGCGCATGCGCAGTTATAACCGTGAAATGACTTATTGGTTTTGCTGAGTCACAGAGTGATTACCACTGTACCAGCTTATAGGACTAACTGCAATACATTGACACACAGAAAGAGAACAATTCTTAATAATTGTTGGAGTGAAGTTATTTCCATGTACTTTTCTCTTTTATTAGAAGTTATTTGTTTGGTCTATAGCTCCATACAGTTTCTTTAGCTCTTCTGCAGAATTTTTTCTGTTAACACACATTTTGAAAAGGATTGAGCACTATAAATATCCTCATTCATTATTAATCACACCAAAGTCAAGCGCTTTGTATCCTAAATAAAAGGTTGTGATACCATATACGTGACGATTACGCTAAATTGAAAGTTACATTTTCTTTCAGGGCTCACAGTTTTGATGAAATCGAAGTCATTTGTTTTCGTGATAGGACACGTGAAGGAAAACGTACCATAGGCCACAGTCTAGTTCTTAAAATTAAAATAGTTTCAACAAAAAATCAAACAGGTACAGTAAAAACCCTCAATTACGAAAACCCGGATTTGACGAATTTTCACGATTTTACGAACGTAAAATCAAGGTGATGATGTCATAAAAAGTGAAGAGAAAACGGGCCTCTTCAAATTCCGTGTTTATTATGGCTTCACACATGTGCATGCAACATGTGCTTACTCTCTTTTAATCATCGTTTTCAGCTTTAAAATTTAACATAGTGCTTGATTGTTTTATTGAATAATCAATATATATATAATAAACAAGCATCTATGCAAGTTGTGTTGGAGTAAAATCCACAATCTAGATATTTAAGAAGGTAAAAACATCCGATTAAAAACAAATTTGTGTAGGGCCTAGAGTGGGATCAGAATGCTTAGAAACTCCCTACTGTAGGCTATAGACCCCTCAGACATAGCTGCGTAGGCCTGTGTGCCTATCCTAGGCCTAGTTTATTGCCAGTGTAAGTAGTACCAGTGCAAATATATAGGAATTTGTGTGAACCCCGATTTTACAAATACCCGCAATTACGAACGGCTCTGGGCCCATAGCCGTACGTAATTGAGGTGTTCTATTGTACTGTAATACTGCAACAATTTTTTATAGTTGAATATAAATAGTATTAAACCAAAAACCAAAACTTAAACTGGAAATTTTGAAATAATTAGTTATTTACTGGAATTGACTTACTGTCGCCTAAGTTATGAGTGAAATTGTTACAGACTGCTTGCTACTAAAGCATTCAATACTGCCAAATTCTTATGCTAATTACTAAGTTTCACATTTAGCAATTGTATGCTGGTTTTAAGATGACAAGTCCCATATGTAGTATATTAAAATAATATCAATTCCAATAAAAGTGTTCACAGTTTTTTAGATAAACTCCAGTTGGGTCCTTTAAAAATCTTCGTATCTAGATAGTCTTGTTTTGCAGTAGGCTATCTGTAAAAGGTTACATTGGTATACAAATGGTGTACTGAATAGGCAATGTATCATTGATTCGTATATGAGCATTAGAAATGCATACAGAAAAATCTGGGGTGGCTTGGACTCATTAATTGGGCTAATGTACAGTACATGTGGGCAAAGTGCGGACCTGCATGCCACATGTAGCCCAACGGTGATATTGTTGCAACCCACAAAAATAAATTTAATACCTTGTGTGGCCCGCCAACCATCTTTGGAAGTACACTGGAGAATAAGTTTGAATGCAACTCTCAGTGTTAAACCAAAAATTCACTTTGGCCTCCTGCCCATTTTTTTGCCTACTCCTGGGTTAATCCAAAATTTAAAATAATCAGGATATTTGAGTATTTTTCAAATGTTTTATATGCTGTTTGTGTTTAGCAGTTTTGCTTTAAGATTGAATGTAATAAAAAGTTTCATGTATATAGATTTATAATAATTAATTAATGTATATAGATTGAATTGAATTGATAGGTCTAAAGTTTGGTGATTTTTTTTGTATATATATCTATATTTATTCCTATTGTAAACTCAAAAGTATTTCAACTTTTGTTGCATTTTGAGTATTTCATACCAAATAAAAAAATAAAATAAATAAATAAAAAACAACTACTTTTAGTGCTTTTATATGTAGCAATAGCGACGAGGGTGTATCCCTATACTGCAGTTTGAGTGCTGACTTGGAGTTCTTCTTTTCTTGTTTTTCCAATTACATCTGCTCACTTGTTTTGCGCATAGAAACTCTTGGATTTTGCGCAATATAAAAGAATAACCTTTAACCTTTATTAATGAAGATTATGGATTCTGATTAACATAAAGTACTTTTTTTTTATTTAAGTTTGTCCAAAATGTGTTGGTTGGGAAAAAAACTCAAAGCAGAAGTTAGCACCGAGAATGGTGAACCTGAGTTCCAGTATGGACCCTGCACGGTAAAAGATTCAAGCAAATTATATAATCCTGATTTTATGTTGATACCGTATGATTATCTGATTGATATAATAAGGACCTCAGTAGGTGAAGTTTGATCAAACTTTTGTCGTGTCTGTCAGAAAATATCTGTTAGTATATACCTCTTCTAGAAATAAATGAAGTTGTATGTTATTTTTGTAATTTATGTGAGTGTGAAACCACTTCAGTTTATTTTTTAAAATCACTACCATAGAGACTTTAAAGCCAGGCTCTGTATAAAATAAAAACTTTCGATACAGTATGTTGTACAACTGATTTTTTTTAAATATCTTGGAAGGTTGTTTGACAAAAAACATGGGAATGGTTTAATAAAATACAACAAACTTTCAAAAATCTGTGTCTTATTACTAATCATTCCCATGTTTTTGGTCAAAAAAAAGTTCTTAGAAAATTCAGTTGTACAGAATATCTGTTTTTTTCTTTCCAGAGCCTAGCTTTAACAACCATTTACAAATTGGGTGCCAGGTGATAAGCAGAATTGTGTCTATTGTTAGTATTTAATCTGATCAAATTTATTGAAATTTATCAGTTTATTTATAATTAGTGATTAAATTAATATGATATGTTGGATTTAATACAGTACCTAACACAGAAATTTGTAAGCTCTGAAAATGATTAAGATCATGTTTTATTTCCCTTGTCTTGCAGACTTGCTGAATCGTCAGTGGACCTCAATTTGAAGTTAATGAGATGGCGTCTGCTGCCCTCTCTTGACCTGGACAAAGTAGCACAAACACGGTGTCTTTTACTTGGGGCTGGAACACTAGGATGTAATGTGGCTAGAAATTTATTGGTAAAGATTAATATACTTATAGATTGAGTAACTTAATTTATGAATTGTAATGGTGGTATAGTAGAGGTCACTTTAATAAACTTAATATTTTTTAATATAATTTATATGTAAATTTATCATGATCACTTTAATTAGCAAGATTGTTGTTGTTGTTCTTTTTGTTGTTGATCCTACTAAAAAATTTTTTATGCATAATAATTTCTTTTGATAAAATTGTATGAAATTTCAATCCTAAGTGAAGATACTAATCCGTGTTACCACAAAAGATACCTTTTACAAAGGATTTTGTTTTTTTGGTTATTGGATAAATCTGATCAATGAAATAAATTAACAATCATTTGTAAATAATGCATTAATAATATACACAAAAGCGCACAGAATCCAGAGGGTAAAGACGTCGGGTAAAACCCACCAGTACTGCGACAATGCAATAGAGTCAATGTAATTTGTAAGAGAATTTTTTTTTTAAATCAGATTTAATAGATAATGCAATAATATTGAAGAAATCATTTTTCAGTCAGCAATACGTATTTTCTCTAAAAAATTTTAGAGTGTGAAAGCTAGTGTGTTTCTTGGTCTTATTTTGTATTAAGAATAATAAAACATACCATGTCGTGTCTTTACAGGGTTGGGGTGTAAGAAACATAACGTTTGTGGACAATTCACGGATATCGTACTCCAATCCGGTTCGTCAGAGTCTGTTTGAGTTTGAGGATTCGCAGGCCGGTGGTAAACCCAAGGCAGAAACAGCAGCAGAGAAACTTAAAAGGATATTCCCAGGAGTGGTAAGTCAGAGGTGTTCATTTCTTCTTAGCTTCTTAAGCCGGGCTCTTACTGCATCTTACGGTGGTCATACGACGAATCCATCTCTGCATTGAATTGGATTGGATTTATACGATGTAAACACCAAGGATAGCCCACGAAAGTCTAGAAGAAGTCTTATATCCAGTTGGTGATTGGGCAGTACACCGGAAGACAATCCCCTACTCTTTTCCGAAAAGTGTACTGCATTCTTTAACGTGGGCCATAATTGCAGACAGAACCAACGGCTTAAACGTATTATCTGAAAGATGTTGCGCTATTGTAGCTTGTATATTTCAGCCCTCCAGCTGAAACACAAGGAGAGGCAGCAATGGGAATTGAACCGGTGACCTAGAGATCTCCACGGTTCAGCGCACATACAGTGGCTACCACCAGATTAGCAGACTGAGCTAAGCTGCTCTCTGAGCACTAGATCATACGACGCCATCTGCTGATTGTCAGTGGTCCAGACTAAATTTGCGTGTTTATAAGCACAACTAAATCTTATATGTGATATCCAGTGAATTAGATATTCATTAACTTTGCTAATACTCAGCCAACCAGTGTCCATCAAATAAACACTGTTTTAAAGAATAATTCATGCAGCATCTAAACACACCAAAAACTGTACTTAAAATGGTAGGTTTTTTGCCAGAACCAGTCACACATTGTTATATATTATTCAATATGAGTAAAGAACAACATTTGTATGCTGGAAATAAAGTATTTTATGACGACCATATTGTTCTTAATTGTCTTTTGCTTGTTTATTTGATGAATGTAATTTTGTGTGTACATATTTGTACAGATAGTATATACATTTATTTGGCTCAATGTAAAGTTACATTTACACTAGACACAACAACGGCATATCATCATGTCGTTTATATTCTTCAACACTAAGCGCATCTTTATCATGTCGTGTCATTATCGTGTCTAGTGTCAATGTAGCTTAACACTGTTACTAACACGGGTAGCCAATTAACAGTTTATATAAACTAGTAACATTAAAAGCATAAACAGTGAAAAATGTCAGGCATGATTTTATAAGTGAAACACAAAATAACAATCTGTTTATTGAATCTAATTTTCTATATTATAATGAATAAAAACTAAAAAATCAAATCAAAATGAAAATGGCACTTCATTCGATAAGTATGTTACACCTCTAATAATAGAGTACTACAGTCTTGTCGTCACAATGCCAGGTGGTGCCCTCTGTCGCCAACCAGACGTTGGTTACCGTCCGTTACACCTGAATAATTTCATAGGCTTTCTGGAATAGGCATTGTAAAATCTAATATTTTACCATCAAAATGTACTAAAAACACAAAAGCTCACATGATATTAGTTATCAAACACACACATTTAATCATCAATTAAAAGTTTACAAAGAAAAACTAAAGTACATCATATTAATAATTACGTTAGAAATTGGGATCAATGGTTTGTCAGTGGAGAAAATGGCATCCGGTTGAATGCATTTTGCAACGATAGCAACAGAGTAGTATTACATGGTATTATGACGTAACACTGTATTACTCTATATGCACGGAAATTAATGTATATTTATTTTATTATGTTAATTTATATATACTTCAGAATGCTGTTGGATATGACTTCTCCATTCCAATGCCTGGACATGCAATAGGAGCGTCAGGTAAAAACATTTTATACCTTGTTTATCAAACCTACCACTAGCCAATATTGATTTCAAATAAAAAATTTTTTTTTTTTTTTGGCCATTTAGTGCACCTGTTACCACAACAAATGGAAATTTCAGAAACAAAAAATAAAAGTTTTTCTTGATTATTCCCGCCGCTGCCTTGAAATCTGCAAAAATAATACATGTATATTTCGTTCTAATTATATAAATTTAAAGCATTTAACTATCGCATTACTACACTGGTTTAGGTGAAGCATTGGATAGGGTGAGGGAGGCAGTTGAGAAACTGGAAGAGCTGATTGGTAGTCATGACGCTGTGTTTCTACTAATGGATACAAGAGAAAGTAGATGGTTACCAACCCTAATAGCTGCTAGTAAGAGAAAGGTAATGCTTTTTGAAATAGATGATGCATGGGCAGATCCAGGATTTGAAAGAGGGAGTTTCAAAATGTTTAAAAAAAAACCCCAAATGAAAGGGAGGTCCGGGGGTCCTCCCCCAGGAAAATTTTGATTCCTAGATGGCTGGAAATGAGCTTTCCCGACTTCTGAGGAGTCTTTTACTGACCTCTAAGATCTTCAAAATTCAAGGTTTTCCCCTCTTGGAAAAAGTCAGGTAGTTTTATCTCATTCTTTAGACTTAGCTAGAGACCGATGAATCGATAGGCCTGAAGAACGCACTTTCGTAGCATAAATTATTATGACGTTGAACCCAAACAGTGTGTATAATTTATTTATTGAAGGCTAGTTGGGCTAAGCCTAATTTTCCTGATCTACCAACCTATGCTTAGGTTGGTTAGCATGCCTTTGTAAGCCAGGACCCATTAGTATTTTGTTACATTTCTTTACAGAGGGGGGTTCGTCCGAAGCCCCTGAATACTCCCCCCAACCCGGGATCCGCCAATGCAATGCTATAGGAATGTATAAACTTCTCTGTAAGACAATAAAAAAAATATATATATGTATTGAAAGAATAATACATACTCCTAGAAATAAAATACACGCCATCGTGCTGGAATTTCAACTTATTATTGGGTCATCATCACAATCATCTTTCTTGATGGTGACCCAATAAAGAGTTGAGATATTTAATCCTAGCAGGATGTTGTGTATTTCGTTTCTTGGAATATGTATGATTTTTGGTTCCTATGCTTTCAAGCAAAGGAAACTTTAGGATACCTTTCGTGGTATATGTATGTATGTATGTGACATGTATGTTTCGCTGTTTTTTTGTAAACAGTACTCCTGGGTGAAGAGAGGCAACCGTAGATAAAGTGCCTTGCCCAAGGACACAAGCGATTTGCATAGCAAGAGTTTCGAACCCCCAACCTCGAGGTTGGGAGTCCAAGCCACAACTGCTTCTAGTTGTTAAAGCCATAACTAATGAAAATGAAAATATCCCCTACCCTTAAAAGACTAGTAAACTGTATGATAAGAGGAAAACATTTATGGAATGTTGTTTACTTTCATTGTCCAACTAACTGTCTTAAATGTGATGGATTGGACTCTAGTGACTTCCCGTGTAGTATGGACAAAAAACTTTATCCACACTCCAAAAACATTCAATTGGTTCGGATAAGGTCTACAGACGCTGCATAGAATTCTGTTGTGGTTTGATAAAAACAAATGATATTTGACAGGATATTTTTCAGATTTTATCGGAAGCTAGACTATGTGTGTACAGTATAGTATGTGAAATCATTGTTGGCTTGGACTCATAGTTAATGTAGGGGCCCCCCACCGGACAGGTCTAGTCTCCCCCCCCCCAAATCAAACAGAGCTCATCGGGCAGCTGGACTAAAACAAATAAAAGAATAGGCCTATGCCAAGCCAACACACGTCTGTCACAGTCTGAGTGTCATTTCTGGCCATCCAGATGTTCCTATTCTTTAATAAATCTCATTTGGAAGGGGAACACCCGTACAAAATCTTCTACATGCTCCAGCCTACAAGCTCTAGTTCCCCTGTCGGACAACTCGTCCCCCAGAAAATATATCCTACAGCCGCCACAGCTACTACACCTTTTTATCATTGGCACTAAACAAGCAGAACAAAAAACCTGATTCCAGGATTAATAATAAAATAATAATAATAATAATAATAATAATAATAATAATAATAATAATAATAATAATAATTTTGGCTTGAATAGCGCATTATGCTAAAGTCTTGATGCTCTTAAAAAAATGAAACTGCCGGATTAACACTTGATCTCTCCCTGGTTTCGTTTGTTGCCGTGTTTACATCACCACAAATACAGTAGTGCAATATTTCACGATTGCCCGCATAGGAACCTGGGCCCTTGCAGAGGTCTGGTTGCTATATCCATTTTTTGCATATGCAATTTCTTTAATAATTTTTTTTTCTATTTCGGTATTTGTTCTTTATGTGTTGCATTGTGTATTTTTTCATAAATGTTTTTTGAATGGCTTACTTATATGAAAATACGAAATGCAATACAATGAATATTATAATTATAATAATAATTATAGGCTTATATAGCGTATATATTGAAAGACCCCAATGCATTTCATGTTATAATTGTTATCCCCCCCCCCCCCCCCCCATTGGATTAAATGCATATGGAACACAAACTCAAGTTTCATGAGGGAGTATTCCATAACATTACAGCAGCCACATCAGCACATAAATTTGGCATTTAACCGTACCAGGTTCCCATTACTCCTGGGTGAATAGAAGCAATGTAGATAAAGTGCCTTGCTCAAGGACACAAGCAAAATGCACAGCGAGGGATTGAACCCCCGACTTCAAGGTTGGAAAACCAAACCATTCCCACTGTGCCAAACCACATCCACATATTATATGTTCTCTAGCTTGATACACTGCCAATTGTTTCTTGCTTTCTCTTTGATAGTCCATTTGTTTGTTGAATTCTTATAACATTCCTTATGTAGGTCTCCCTTTTGACCATTCCCTGTACACTGCATTGTAATATCCATTGTCGGTACAGTATTTCCTATCGCATTTTTAAAACCTTTGTCAATGCTTGCAAGATTTAAGATTTTAGTTTTTCTTTAGGCAGTGTAAATGCAGCGATCCCAAGTCTGCTGGAACTTGCGGGAGTCTCCCGGAAATCGCAACGGCTTCCCGCACTCCCGAAAGCAAGCAAGAATCTCCCGGGAATTAACCCATCTCCGTAAATTCATAATTTTGCATGTTTTCACTGCTTTATTATCAATTTCTGATGGAAGTTAGTGCCGATAGGTACCACTACATGCAGCAAAATAATTTTTTAAAAGAAATCTCTTTAACCCGTGGCGATTTCAAGGGAGGAGTGAATGCCTGGCCCCTAAATATTTTAATGTAATGAAAAAATGAAGTAGTAGAAAAAAAAATTATATTAGTCCGAGAGGGCCATTTCTGCCCATTTTATTTTATTTTTGTTTTATTAAACTTTATTTACCGAGGGTAACCTCAAAACAGCGGTTAGCTGACAATCATGGGGCCCTCGCGTAAAAAAACAACAAAATACAAAACAACGACAAGGAAAAGTTAACAAGAAAAAGCCAAAATACAAACAATATTAAAATATTAAAAATCGATAATATCGGTGGATTTAAAAAAAAAATATATATATATATATATATGTTGCCATATTCATAACTTTTCTTACCTCAGGTCTAACCATGGTGGGGCTGACTTGGTCTAGACCTGTCTCTTATGTCATAATAAACATTATTAAATCATAAATCTATCAGTACACCACATGTAAAATATATGGTTATTGAGGTAAAACCACTGGATGGTTGTCTCGACACTACATATTGCCAATTCATACTATTCTACAGTTTTATTTTATTTTGTTTTGTTTTGTTTATTTTTTTGCTTTATAAATAAAAACTATGAATTGATGACAGTGTTTTTAAAATTTTTTCTACTGTAGTGAAATTAGATTTTCAATTTACATACATTCACCATCCTCTTCCTCTACCTCCATCTAGGTAATAGAAATATAGTAAAGTAAATGAAAAGAAATATTCAACAATTAATTAGGTAGATCAAAGAAAATTATAATTACTGTATTTTCAAATTATTCATAACTTAAAAATAAATAAAGTTAATATCTATATAGTTTATAGTTTTTTTTAAATTAGTTTAAACTTTAAATAATATATCCCACTCCCTGCTGTAAGGTGCATAGAGGTATTTTACATTATACGCTATATAAGTTCACAATTATTATTATTATTATTATTATTATTATTATTATTATTATTGTTATTGTTATTATTTTACTAAAACCTACCTTAAGTTTAACTTAGACATTGGAGAAATTAGAGAACAATTAAAAAAAAATCGATGTTAAGGGGAAAATAACACAAAAGATATTCCTGTTAGAGAACGTAGTACACTCTTCGGAAAGGAGTAGGGGATTGTCTACCGGTGTTCTGTCCAATCACTAACAGAAGGACCCCACTGGAAATAAGTCTTCTTCTAGACTTTTGTGGGCTATTCTGGTGTTTACACCAAATTAATCCAATCCAATACAGTCCCCTAAGTTTGAGTTAGCACTAGTTATTATTATTATTATTATTATTATTATTATTATTATTATTATTATTATTATTATTATTATTATTATATTATCTATTATATTATTATTATCTGATTCACTTCTTGTTTTAATGTACAGCTTGTTATCAATGCAGCGTTGGGGTTTGATACATTCATGGTTGTTCATCATGGACTCAAAAAGCCTAAGGTAGAAGCACCAGCACCAGAACAGACAGTAGCAGAAGGAGCAGGCTCCGCTCTTGCATCTAAAAGTGATGTCATGCCAGGTGGAGGTGCAGCAGCGGAGGCTGATCCAGAGAGAGCTACAGCAGAGGCTAAGCCCAAGGAAGCTACTGGAGCCGAGGCTGAGTCTGAGGGAGCTACAGTGGCAGAAGCCAGGACAATTCCAACATCTAATATCTTGAATACTGTAATCCATGGCCACCAGTTAGGTTGCTACTTCTGTAACGATGTAGTTGCCCCCGGTGATGTAAGTATCCACATCATAAAATTTATAGTGGGGGTAGTACAGTATTACCAAGTTTTGTGATAAAATCTGTAAAAAAAATATTAAAACAGTGATTGGTCAATTATAAAGTATCAAATATTAATTCAAACTTTCTATTAGGTACAGATTAAAAACAATTCATTTTGTGGCTGATGTACAAAATGAACTAAGAGTCCTTAACTGATTAATTGTACGAAATGTCCATCCCCATATTGAATTCTGTTCACATTCATGGGCTGGATCCCCCCCCCCTACAACCTTTTGTTATCTTGGATAGCATTCAGTCGAAAGCTATTAGGATCATAAGTAACCCGCAACTTACTCAGACTTTTTACCCTCTTGCTCATTGTCGGTGTGTTGTAGATCTTTCCTGTTATTTTCAGTGTACCTTTTGTGGCTGCTCTTAAGAATTACAGTCTATCCTCCCTCCACCTAACACTCCGGCCAGAGAGACTAGATTTTCTTTTAATGCTCATTAGTTCAAACTTACACCCACCGCTCTGAATCTTACTCCTCCCCCACTTATTCCTCAAACTTCTTCCCTTTGGATTAAACTTCCTAGTTCCTGTTTCCTGCACATTTTAATCCTAAGACTTTTAGAGCATTGATCAACCTATTTGAATTTTCTCTCTTATAATATTTCCTTTGCATGGTGCCTTTTGATTATAGGTTCGCAATAGTTATATTGTATATTATTGTAGGTGATGAACCTTTCCATGCATTACATACAAAAAAACAAAACAAAAAACAACCAGGTATCTAATATGTTGCAGTAATGGATTTAAGGGGACCCAGCTGGTCCTAGCCCATTCTTAATTTTTCAAAATTATTAAAAAAAAAGTGAAGAAAAAAATGAAAATATATTCAAATTAACTGAGAGTGCCATTTCCGGTCATTTAGAAGTGCCATCTAAATCACCTCAGTCCCAACGTGGACCCTCCATCTGTGAGAGTCCATCACTGGTCTCCTCTATTTCAAATTCCTGGATCTGCAATTGTCATGAATACTGTCCATAGAATTATGGAAGGGATCTATATAGAAACAGTATTATTTTTGCATATGTTGTTATTGTAAAAGCATTTCATTTCTTATTGGCTTGTTCTTATATTTTATATCTGCATTCTCAGTCGACCAAGGACCGTACCCTTGACCAGCAGTGTACCGTGTCTCGGCCTGGAATGTCGATGATAGCAGCAGCCCTTGCCGTAGAGCTTCTCGTAACTATTCTCCAACATCCGTCTGGGTAAGTTACACCTCAAATATTAGTGGGCATAAATATAGGTCAGAGGGCCAAAGTGAATTTTTGATATAACAGTTCTGCACCATTTCTACAAAAAGAGAAACTTCATACACTGCTTTTATACCGCTTTATGTTCAGTTTTAATATTGCTTTTAAATATTACTTTTTAAGATTGGTGTCAGGCAGTTATCAGGGGTTTTCTAGCCAAAGATAGTAAGACAAGCCACACACGTAGGGTAGGGCAACAAAATTTCCGTCAGGCCACATGTAGGCCCACAAGCCGCACTTTGTCCACCTGTGTGGTCTAGTGTAATCAGTAATGGTAATGGTTGTAGACTTACATAGCACATAATACATGGTCTCTATGTGATGTACAGAAAGCAAAAAACAAGATCTATTCTAGTAGGTCACCTAAGCTAACCAAGCTAAAATAAACAACCGAAACAGGCTAACACAGAGGATCCAACACTAACGCACTGTTCACCTGCAGTTTGAGACCACCGACAAGCAGTGGTTAGCAGGTACATGACTCACACATGCTCGAATAGTGTTGGCTTCTGGCCTAGCCTTTCCTAGCAACAAAAAAGAAAATCTAACAGAAAACAGAGACAAATAAAAAGGAAACGAAACGAAAATTGGCATATTAGCATTTTCACATACCCAAGTTTTCCAAATTCCAGCAGGAAAAAATGTTACACTTGGTCCAATGTGTGGAGAAACTTAGACTGCATATCAATTGTACAGACTTTTAGCAATGTTTTTTTTTTTCAGTGTTGATATTATTTTTATCAGTATCCAGTATGAGAACCATGGTACAGATTGTTTTAAATTTAATAATTTCTATGCTCAAGTTGAAACCCCTAAATTTTCATAATTTTTTTTTTTGGGGGGTGGGGGTGGCGGTGGCCCTTCTCTGATCGGACCACTTCTGAAATACTTCGAGCTACGCTCAGCCATGCCAACTTTGCTTTGTCGGGGACATCTGCCCCTCCGTCGGGCAAATCCTGGCGCCACCCCTGCAGGGAAAGTGGCCAATAAAGGCCCGGGCCATAGTTTTGGGTCAAAACTGAATTTTACATTTCTGTGCTCAAGATGATAATTTATATGTGGCAAAGACAAGCCAAACCAGTCACACATCGCAATTCTTGTTTCGGAGATAATAGCAAAAACATGCTGGAATGTCAAAATTTTGCAAATCTATTTTATTGCACTAAACTATCTTTTATATTATCTATACATCATGCTATGCTGTTATTTTCCCCATTTTCAACGTTTAAAACAACAATTCTTAACGATTTGGTGATAGTTTCTGCCTAAGAAATGCCTGAAATCGTAAGCTTTGAAGGCTGATTTTTCAACTATTGTTCTTTAAATAGCTGTATATTTAAATTCCTGTAAACTTCATAACGAAATGTCGGATTTAAATGATTCTTTTACCATTTTATAGCTCTCACTTTACTTTTTAACACTGTATTAATAACTAGTGGTTGTCTTTGCCGCATATGTTATACTGAAAAATGAACAAGTTAATTTTATAACTATTTTTTACATTTTTTGTCATTTTCAGGTAAAAATACATCTTTATGTAAATTAAAATATTTCATTGTTTTAATATTTTTTGTAACCACATAGACTGTGAAGCCATCATTAGGCATTAAAAAATTAAAATGCTAAAACAAAATCAACAGGTTTATTGCAACCCCACTTTGAACCTACCTACCATTGTTATTTATCATTGTCAAATATGTTCATGTATATACGATATGATAATACATCATTGTGATAAATCATTGTCATATATTAATGTATATATGATATGATATGATTAAACATCATTTTAGGGGGAGAACAGCTGCTGAGACCAACTCTATCGATGGACAAATGACGTCTGACACTGCTGCTGCATCGCTTTAATTAATCATTGTCAAATATTATTAATATTTAATGTGATTGCATTTATAAAATATCAACTAGACATTTGGGCGATTGCCAGCATTTTTGGCATCAAACAATGTTTAATGCCTGATAGAGTGAACAGGTTCATTGGAACCCCGCTGGGTGTATTTGTCATTTGTTTGTCGTTGATTTGTCATTGTCATTGATCGTTGTCAAGTATATTGATGCATACATTACAGACATATGATATGATTAACTTCCTTTTAGGGGATACGCATCAGCTGACACCAGCTCGAAGGATGATCACATGACCTCAGAAGCATCTTCACCTCTTGGTCTTGTTCCACATCAGGTAAAAAAACTTTTAACAGATTTTCAAAGTGTATAATAAAGTGTTATTTTCTTGGTTTTTTTTTTTTTTTTTTTTTTTCATATTTCTTATTATTTATATGTCTTGTCTTTGTTTAAATTCTGTAAGTGACAACTTGTTTGCTGTTGAATGGTGAACCAATAAGATAAGAATAAAATATATTGATTCATTCTGGTAGCATTGTGATACGAATAAACAGGGAAAGTGGTCCATGAGGCCAATCAATAGATAAAGGAATTTTTAAAATAATTATGACAAGCACGTCACCCATTTTGTGAATTTTTAAAAAATTGTTTTATTTATTTACTTATTATTTAATAGCATATTTCAAGAGGGAGAGTACCATCCAGCATTGCTGATCATTAGGTTCCCTCAAATAATACATGAAATATAAAACAAGAATCACTTAATTACAGACAAATTTATAAAATTCAGATAGTAAAAATAATCATACATCTAAATATCTATAAAGGCAGTCGCTGGTTTGCCCCAAGACCCTATCTGGGCCTGCCACTGTACCCAACAGGGCCACTAGGCTCCAGACCACTACCATTTATAGCCCTGCTGGTAACATTACGCAAGGGTTAAAGTGCACTCTTCAGGTTGGTTATTTTAAATACGTGTGTATTTTTTTTGGGGGGGGGGGGTAACTCATTGTTACCATGGCAACTGGATTTTTGCAAATTTAAGAATTTTAATATTTGATGTACTTAAATGTACAGATTTTTTTTTTTTTTTTTTAGTTTGTGAGAAAATTAAATTAGTTATAAATACATTATTTAAGAAATCAGATTGACTGGAATTTTGAATGTGCATTAGTTATAAAGAACTTATTGATGTATTCTGAATTTTATAACATTTTTAACATTTTACGTTCATATATAAGATAAGATAACTTTATTGTCCAATATAAAAAATGCAAATTTGTTTTTTTGGCAATATAAGACATATAAACAGATAAAAATGAATAAAAACACGTGAAAGTACAAGATGAGATAAAAACAATTTAAAAATACATGATTCTCAGGCGTTAGTTCCACGGTTTGCCACAAAAATAGAACTCAAATCATGCTTTTATCAGTTATTTTTTAAAATATTATTGATGGTCGTTATAATACTAAACTTGATTAGAGTTTTGCAGATTTATGAATTTTATTAATTGATGTATTTAAATGTACAGACAATACTTTTTTTTCCAGTTTAGGCTAAAATTAATTTACTATAAATACATATTTAAGATATCAGTTGACTGAAATTTTGAATGCGTATTTTGTATAATGAACTTTACTGACGTATTCTGAATTTTATAGCATTTCTAACAATTCGCGTTCATATATTATAGACAAATATACAGTAGAAGTAAAGTATTTTATCACATTTTAAAATCAGGTTTAGTTATTTTATAGATGTGGTTTCCCAGGACTACGCTATACTACAATACAACAGTAAAACACAGTGTTCTCCCAACTGAAAAATTTTTACTGGTAAATTTGTCCATAAAAAATTGCAATGCGCACAATGTGAGGTACGTTACCCCTTTTTAGTTGGGTTAAATGACTTGAAGACACACCAACACATATTCATAGTGTAGATATAGACTGGAATGATGTTAATTTATTAAGAGGGCCAGCCTGGACTACCTAAGCCTAATCAATATTTTTTTTATTTTACAAACTCAAAATTTTTACTGGTTGGTTGGTTATTTTTACCGGTAAAATTGACGGCTAAGACGGCTTCGGGAGAACACTGAAACAGTAGATAAATTGAAGTAGTATTAATAAATTTGAATCGTGATATAGGTGTTAGATTTTCTGTGAAGGTTGTTATTTTGAAAGTGTATTGGCTTTAACTGTTTGGAAGTTTGTTGGCTGTACTTTATGTATCTACTCAACAGCATTCTTTTACAGTTTTAACATGCACTTTACAGAGAAATATACTGTTGATAGAGTATCAACTTTATAGTATCTGAAACTTTATATTTTGAACATATCACCTATCTGTCGTTCAATCAACACATTGTCTTGGATTTTCTGTGCAGGTTGTTTAGAAGTGTGTTAGCCCTATGGAAATGTGTTTGCCGGGACCTGTAGTTATGTCAGGTCTTGAATGTTGTAACAGCAGAAAAATGTAATTTAACTCCTGTTGAATAAAGTAGCATGTTTGTATCAGGAACTTTATCTTTTTGAACATAACACACCCACCTGTTGGAAAGTGGGTATGTTATGTTATCTTAACACACCTACCTTCCAACCGGTTCATTTGGCTGTCGTTCAATCAACACATTGTTTTTAAAATCATGTTATAAAAAAGCATTCAAAAAGCAAAATACCAACATTTCTAATCTGATAAAACTTTGATCAAACACATGTAAACACATGCAAGCTCGTCAATTCTATTTGTACCATCTTGCTAACTCAAGATGTATTTGCTGTTGCTGTTTTATCATTGCGGAATGACTACCTTTACATCATGAATAACCAGGTTTTTGTTCTTTCTTTTTATTTGCGCACTTAATGCGGCTAATTGTATAACTGGTCCCAAGTGGAAATAAGCTAACTTTTATTAGTTCTTTCTTTATTTTTTTTATTTTTTTTTTTTTTTTTTGTGCTTATCTGTATCTTAATAACGTAATAATTGGTTAACTCTAAAAATAGTATTACTACAGCAATGTTGTTTTTTATTTAGTGGATTTTGTTTCAACACCAATACAGTAATGAATACTGTTATTGTATAATTGTTTTGTATAACTTTTAGTCTCTTTTAGTTTAGTTGTTTTTTTTTCTTTCTCATTGAACGCACCGAAATGTTGTGTGCCACTGAAACAAAAGTGAATTTTCCTGTCTCTTATACATTTGCGCACTTATGCGGCTAATTGTATAACTGGTCCCAAGTGGAAATAAGCTAACTTTTATTAGTTCTTTCTTTATTTTTTTTATTTTATTTTTTTTTTGTGCACTTATGTGGCTAATTGTATTACTGGTCCTAAGTGGAAGTAAGCTAACTTTTATTAGTAAGCCTTTCAATCAAAGTCTGTTCCAATGCACACATCGTCGGCCGGTGATTCTGTGAATTACTGTATATATGTTTCAGAATACGGAAGAATGAAATACCGATCTTAACCGTATCCTTTTATTATTTCACCATCTGCATAATTGTTTGTAGCCTAATATTTTTTTTTTAATTGGTGCATTGAGATAATGGAAAATTCCTGGTCAGGTCTGATTGTTTAGTAAGTTAAATTTTATTATTATACTTGATTGATTGATTGATTAATTGATTGATATGCAATTTTTGTTTACAATTATTTATGCATATTCGTAGGCAGTGACGGATTCAAGCGGGCAGAGCTTCCCCACTCCCACTAAATTTTTCCAAATTATAAAAAAAAAAATGAAATAGGAAATTATTTGTGAATTTTTTCCTTTAGTTAATCCAGTGTCAATATTTTATAAGTAAATGTTGTTTTTACTTACGGACTAGAAATCCAGAATGATTTTATTTCCTGTGATGTAATGCGAAAATTTTAAGTCCATGAGTGCTATTTTCAACCACATAGAAGTGCCAAAATCTTAAATTGTCTTACCTCAGCCCCAACCATGGTGGGGCTGAGGTGGTCTGCACTCTTCATCTGTGAAAGTCCCTCCCTGCACGCCCCACCCCCCCCCATACACATCTAGATGTGTATAAGAGACAGACATTAAACAGTGAGATTGCGGTTTTCATGATTTACGTAAGTTAATTGGCACAGGTCTACTTGAGTCTCAACATAAAAGGGATGTTGGTGACAGATTAGTTTTATTCTCTTAATTTTTTAGTTAATAAAAAATATACATATGTATCATGTAAAACTTAGTGTTGAAATGCAATCGGAAAAGAAAAATTTGGCCAGGATGCGATGCTAGACATATCTTGAGTTCAATATGCATCCTACAATCGGTAGGTACCCAGATTGAAAACCCAAAGTCGTGTCGCTTCCACTTAACCGTAACATGCCTAAAAGGGATAAAGATGAAAACACAGGAAAATATTAATTACTGAAACTGACATTATCAAACTTGTTGTCTCTAGTATTTTCCTTGTAAAAAAGCAAGTAAAAAAAAATGAAAAATCTGTATATTTTCAGTATTAAGGAACATTTTACAGTAAATATTTTACTGCTTGGTGTAAAAATATATTCAAGGGTTTGAATTCATATTTTTTTTTTTCGAAGTGATAAGGATGGGATGGGTAGTAATTTACTGATAACCGTACTTTAAATTATACCATGAGATGCAACTGTTTCTCCTGCTGTCAGCCGCAGTTGCGTTATCTTTAAAAAAAAAAAAAAAGAAGATGTGTCTAGATTAGTCAAATTTTGTGGAGGCTACCCACTTGTAGACTTTTAAACTATTCTTTTATCCATGCTGGATTTACCTTTATTTAAATGTAAATATATTAAAATTTTACAGTTTTCTAAATTGTCATATAAAATAACACAAAGGTGACTCCAAATAGAGAAAGTGAGGCCATTTTACGTTTCGACTTTATTAAGTCATCATCAGGAATCACCAGAATAAATTGTCATGACATCATCAGAATAAATTGTCATGACATCACTTTTTAGTCTTTATATAATTTGTAATTTTACTTTTCTCTCTTTGTACAGTATATGTGTTTTAATTTAATTTCTGTATTAAAGCTAGTCTTTTCATTTTCTTTGTATCTTGCAAAAAACAGCCTTGTGAAAAACACCATTATGGTGATGATACAATTACATGTTTTAATAACAGAAAACAGTCTTGAAATTTATGAAAAAAATGATTGGCCCGTAACAAACACGTCTTTTTAAACTGCTGTAGGTTATTTCAGTAGTACTTTCATACCATTTATGCATAGTATCTGCCTAGTGATTTTCAGGGGGCATGTCCTAAGACTGTCGCTATGTAGTTTTAATGGACTTAAACCACAGAGTTAAGGTGATGTTTTGTTTGGGATTGGCTTGG